GATGTATACAGTAGTATTAACATTGAGGACTTGAAATTTCTTTTTACTTAATATCCTTCAGGGACACATTTACAGAATTTCAAGCTTATGCTTGACAGATGTTTGGTGGTTCAGGAAGGAATGATTAAAAATTCAGATATATAAACAGAGATCTTAGTCACACAATAATAAATCACACAAGAATTAAGTTTCCCAAGAGGACCAAGTAAAATCAGCAGAAAAGGACCCAGAGCATTTGGCATTTCTTTTTTTTTTTTTTTTTTTTTTTTTTTTGAGATGGAGTCTTGCTCTGTTACCCAGGCTGGAGTGCTGTGGCACAATCTTGGCTCACTGCAACCTCCACCTCCCAGGTTCAAGTGATTCTCCTGCCTCAGCCTCCTGAGTAGCTGGAACTACAGGCACACGCCACCATGCCTGTAATATTTTGTATTTTTAGTAGAGGTGGGGTTTCACTGTGTTAGCCAGGATGGTCTCCATCTGCTGACCTCATGATCCGTCCACCTCAGCCTCCCAAAGTGCTGGGATTACAGGCATGAGCCACTGCGCCTAGCTTGGGATTTCTTCAACATCTTTTACTTGCTTATATATAAATCCCTAAGTCTACATTGGTTTTTCTGGATTCTTGACATCCAAGCAAGTGTTTATTTGTTAGGCAGCAATAATAATAAACAGGATATTTTCAAAGGTAGAAGTAGCAGTTACAGGATTCACATAATGGAGGTGATTTCAATGGAAAGACCTATTCATAACAAGGGCAAAATGAACGGGCACTGTGGTTTGTTAATGAGGGTTTTGTACATTTGAGTATGTGAATCAATTCTTTGAACTAGGGTTGCTCAACTCTACCTGCTCAAATGAATCAAGCCTGGAGCCTAAAAATATCCCAATTTCTGGCACCATTCCCCAGATATTCTGATATAATTGGCCTTAGGTTGGGCCTATACATAATGCATTTTTTGAAAAAACTCTCTATTGACTTTGAGGCACAATCCGTTAGAAACTATAATGTCAAGCCTGACCTTATCAAAACCTAATAAAACAAAAGCCAGGAAACAGGTTCAGAACCCATCAGACTATAGTGGCTCCTTTAAGATTTATCTTACACCAGCGAATTAGCCTTAACCATTTCTTACATTATTAATTTTAATATCGCAACAGCATTGGTTTGAGGCATTGCATATTTTTTGAAACTTGTGCTACTCCTAAAAGCCCTCCTTGGTGACTTGATGTACTGAGAACTTGTCCATTTGCTTAGCAGTGCGTGTTGAGCCTTGTATGTGGTGTGAATTTAAGTATGCGGCTTCATTCATTGAGTGGGACATGAGATATTCTGAAGTTTCCTGTAGTTAGCTCTTCATTGCAAAGGGAAACAGATATTATTACTGTTTACTTTTCCTACCGTGGTGCCCTTTTATTTTTAAGTTACTTCAGGACGGTTCTGAGATACCAAAATGAGTAAGATACGGTTTCACTAATGCAACCAAGATTAACTAGGTGAATAGTAATTATATTTTATTGAATGAAACATAGCTTAATTAGATTAGGCCAAGGAGGGCTATTTCCTCACTAATGTGCACACCTTCGGTAAGGACAAAGTATTAAAGATAACTAGAACTTGCAATTCTAACACTCCCTGAAGCTCTCTGTCTCTCTTTTCTGCATGTCAGCTCTGATCTGTAGACTGTTTTTCACAATGACTGGAATGTGGCTTCCATCAGCCTTCAGAGTCACATTTATCTTCTGAGGAATGGAAACTCGGGTTTTTTGAACCCAGGATCCTAGAGTGACTGGCCAGATTTGGGTCAAGGGCATCCCCAAAGAACTGTGGTTAGGGATGTGAGACCCTGACAAAATAGCATTTGTCTTTGGATTATAGAGATAGAATAAATGTTTCCTAGGAGGGGGAAGGGAATGTTCCTTTGGGAATTTAAAAAAAAAAAAAAAAAGGCAGATATCCAGTACAGACAGTACAGACATTGCTTTCTGGTTCTAATTGCTGTTGGAGGTGGAGGGTTTCTCCTCAAGAGACATGGCTCCCTAGTCTTGCAGAGTTGAACTTAGGACTTTTTCAGACCCACCTCTCACGTCACCCTCTCATTAACCTTAATTAACTCTGCTACCCCCAACCACCCACACTGGTGGCTTCACCTTCCACTGTGATGCTACAACATGAAGTAATAGGCCATGATTACAGTGTGCTGCCAACTGCTGAGTTTCCCAGAAGACCCTCAGAAAAACCTGTTGACCCAACTTACTGCAGTAAACGTAAACGCAATATTGACCGTCTTAGTAGTGTCTCAGAAAGGAACTCAGGGAGGATATTTATAGGGTTTAGGTCCTAGATTGGGTGAATTTCAGGTGGGTTTTGCAAGACAGAAAATTCTTTGGGTTTGGCAAAGTTCATGACATAATAGCTTTGAACTGTTGCCCACAGGGAGATGAAGGAGTTGAAGCAAGTCTTCTAGAGCAAGCTGATGATAAAGATAAGTAAGCCACTTTGGTTAGTCATAGCCCTGTCCATTAGGAGCAGGTATTTCTTAAAGCAAGTAGCTAAGTCATTTTTGATTATTTTCAGCACAGCTTAACAGAGAGAAAATAAAGCATACTATATTCCAGAATTATTTAATACACAGAGAGGAAAGTATTTGGCTTCAGTTATCAATAATGCATTTTAATTGTTAATTTTTTATCTGTTGGTATATAGGCATGACCAAGGGACATTGAGTCACATGTAAGAAAAATGTTATTTTCTCTTTTAATAATTCTGAATGCATCAATGAGAAAGTTAATTGTATTTCCATTTAAATCAGCTCACATCCAAAATCATCTTGCATATTTCTGATAGTAGGATTTTCACATTTTCAGACGTACCATCAATATTTCCCAGTGGGAATCCACGAGTGCAGGGTAGAGTAGAATTTGCTACCTCTTACTCCGATGTTATCTCCTTATTTAAAACAGCCACAGAAAACAGACTGTGAAGGTTGGATTAACAAAAGGCAAATATAAATCATGATGAAGGCTGAAAAAAAATATATATTTCCATACTTTTGAAATTCTGGATTTTTTTTTCTTTTATTCAATATCTTTTGTAGAGAAAATGGTAAGTGAAACTCCAGTCAGATAAAGTAATGTAAGTCCAATTGTATTCTATTCTGTTAGGAAATTGAAAAGTTGGCACTTTCAGTGTCTGAATTCCTTCAAATGTGAAGCTCCAAACTTCTACTTTCTGAAATAAATTAAGTTAATGCATCCTTAATAGAATAAATGCAATTCTCAATAGCGAATAAGTTTCACATTATAATTTCTTTAGGAAAAACTTGTTCCAATTTTATAAGCAGAAGAAAGGAAAGAAAATGCTGCAATCTGTGGAAAAAGTTGTAGATTCCTGGAGCCACTCTTACTTCATGATTGTGAAAGTTAAATCATAATTTTATTGCAAGTAAAAAGCATTCTGCAATAATACTTTCTAGAGAAGTTTCTAAACAACAAAAGAACCACCAAAAACACAAACCCACAACTTCTTTTTGGCTTCTGTACTATATTACCGTAATTGTGAAGAAAAACCCCACCCTTCTCCTGAAGTATAAAGTAGGCCTCCTTTCTCCCTTGGGGTATTACTCTTGGTTGGGAAAGAATATCTCAATTAATAAATCTTTACACACTGAGGGTATGTGGACCGTAACAAAGTTTTGGCCTGGGTGGGACATGAATGTGAGTTAGATGTATATTACTCTAGCTTCTTGATATTCTAGCCCATAGAATCTCTCTGTGCTTCTCTCTGGTGATGAATGGCACATTTTCTGTTAAACCTGGACAGATCTGACACTCATTGATACTGAAGGGTGAGTCTTAGCATTCAAATCTGGGATTTCAGGATGTTCTGTGCAGAACACCCCATAACCTTGACTATTCCAAGTAGATTCAAAGTAGATAAAATGCACGTGTTTTTGTTTTATTTTGTTTTGTTTTGAGAAAAACCATTTTCAACTTGCCTCATTTTTTTCTTATTCATGAAAAACAAAACAGGAAAAGTTTTCGGTTTACACATATTTGTGTTCTCTTTGTTAAAAAAAAAAATTAAATAATAAATGGAGAAAATCCTGACAGTTCTCATTACACTTCCCTCTCTTCATTCTTCCAACCCCATTCTTTTAAGACATGCTTTGAAACTTCCTAGTTAACTTCAGAAGCAATCCCGGAATTGGGTTCTTGCCAAACAAGGGGGAGCTCCCATCTCTCACGTTTCCTGTTGACATTTTAATAAACTTTCCTCAGTGTAAGTAATTGTAATGTATCTCTTCACAGACAGTCTGAAGAAGCTGGCAGGCTGAAGCAATGGATTGATTGAATTCAACCACTCAAGCTAGGAGTACCTTTACTGGCAGGTGATATACATGCATGCAATACAAAATCTCAACCTGAGTACATGTCCATGCAAACCAAACAAAAGTAAACTATGCACGTAAACATAGTCTATGCTTTCCAAGTTGTTCACTATGACTCCGTTTCCCCACCCTGCCCTTTCTAGAAGTTGCTGGGTAAAACCGCTGCCTTTAGCATCAAGAGTGCGTTGCTTTCTCTCTGATCGGGCTTCCTCCAGGACTTCGCACCTCTTTGGGCATTTTCACTGGTTCTCTGCAGGCTGCCTCTGAGGAATTGGGAACTTTGGAACCAAATGGCGAGTCCTCTGCCTAAGTAGTGGAAGTGACCGCAGCTCCGTTGCCAGCAAAGATTGCCCTTGGTTTCTGAGAAATTTTGACTTCCCAAGTTTATTTGGCCTCCGGCGGCTTCTCTGAAACAAAGCCAACAAACAGCTGGAGCGTCTCTGGACACTCACATTGAAACCTGTGAAGAATTAAAAGCCCCAGGAAAGAGCCAGGCCCCCGGCACGGGTCAGCGCCGGCTTAAAAGAGCCTCGCAGTGCACGCGGCGCTCGCTCGGGGCCCCCACCTGCGGCGGGCCACGCGGACCAGGGTTTCCGGCGCGCGCTCCTTCCAGGCGCTCGGGGCAGCCCCCTCTGGAGAGCTGGGGGCGGTTTCCAGGGTCCTCAGTGTCCCCTGACCCCGGGAGAGCTGGGTGAGTATGGGGTGCGGGGACGTGGGGCTTGAGGCAGGCGGGGAGGAAACGTCAGGGAAGCAGATGTGAGAAGAGGAAATCATCTTTCTGGGGATTTGCACCTGTTGACGGCCCCAGATCTGGACTTGCAGGCGTTTTACGGATGGTTGAGACAGGTTCTGAAAGGATAGACTCCGAATTCGAAAGGACCTTAGAGCAGTGCTGCCGGTAGTGTGGTGCAAGGACTGATTAGCATCGCCTTCCCCTAGAAACTCGTTAGAAATGCAGATTTGCAGACCCCACCCAAACGCTGCCAAACCAGAGTCTCTGGGAATGTGGATAAGGAATGTGTATTTTAACAAATCCTCCGTGGGTTTCGGATGCAGCTCAAGTTAGAGAACCACTGTCTTAGAGGTCATTTAGTCCTACATTTGAGCCCCTAACCCCAATGCAGGAACCCCCAAATAAACAGCAATGGGTGTGTAGGCAATGTGCCAAAGGCATTAGATACTGGGGTGTATTCGGGTATAAAAAGAACTTTTAAACACTCATGGTTTGTGGGAATTCTATTCTGTTCCAAACTAAACTGTGATGTTTGAGATTTCCTGAGAACAGCACTCAGAGCTTCGACAAATATTTCTGAGTTTGTACTGTGTGCAAGTCTCCAGGTACGGTTCTTTCAAAGTGCTCGAGGGAGTTTTGTACTCTCAAGATCCCCAAACTGGTAGCATGTTATTTCTTTTACCAGAATCTTCATAAGTTGATGTAGTGCTTTATAAGTCACATGTGTTTTTTTTTGTTTGTTTTTTGTTTTTTTTGTTTTTGGTTTTGGTTTTTTTTTTTTTTTTTTGGCATTCGACTGCTTGTTCTGAAATTAAGCGTTGTTGTTAACTCAGGGTGTCGCGCTAGGTATCTGGGAAGAGATATATTTACTTTGTGAATTCTGAAAAAAAAAATCTTTAAGAAAAATTCACACTGCAAGACTTCCCTCCCCCCATTTTTTCTATTTAAGTTTAGAGTGCTACAATTTACAAATAGAATAAGTAGGAATCTTGAGGTTTCATATTAATTAAAATAGAGAAGATAATTCCCAAGTTTCTAAATAGCTCCTTCAGATGAGGCAGGCTCTTCATCACCGCTGAGAACCTGAGCCATTACTCTTTGATGATGAAGGCTTTATGAATGGTTTTGTGTTATTCTCCTTTCAGTGGCTTAACTTAAATATGAAGTCTAAATCCACTACTGACTTATTTGGAGACTCTGGAGCAAATTGATTTGCAGATATTTCTCAGTTTTTCCTTTTCTTCAGTGGATGGGGGTACAGGATGTAAGGTTTTGATAGGGTACTTGTTAACATTATCTTAAAATAGGTCCCTGGAGGTCCCTGGAGATCCCTGTGTAGTTATAGATATTGAACTATTACTAATATGTTAAAGCATAGAAAACATTCAATTCCATGATTTTATATTTAATTATGTACGTATGTCTTAAGTTAAAACATCTAAAAGGCTTTTTCACATATTTCAAAAGCTAATAACCTCTCTGTTTGAAAACAACTTTGGAAATGTCAGTAAAATTGGGAGCCACTGCTAGCAATGCTATGAACCCATGAAAATAAAGTTTGCCACTGTAAATATTTCCCCATCTTGGATCATAGCTACATGCAGAAATTGTTCGTAAGTATTCGACGAGCATATGCTTAGCATCCATCTATGATGAAGTGTAAGGCTGACAACATATGTCTTGTTTGATGATATTTCATGTTGTGATTTTTTCCTCCCTGAATTTCAAATCACCTTCCGAAAGGGAAGAAATTTCAACCCTGGAACATAGACCCAGAATCCTCTAGGTCTGACAGTGGAGGGCACAAATTCGTTGGGAATGTGTGCTTTTCTTCGTATTGCAGTATTACAGTTTGCTCTGATGATGCCCCTGTCAATCTTGTAGGATCTCAGATCCAGTGTACCCTGGGCAAGTGCAAAGGAAGAAGAGTTGGACACTGAGCAAAGTTGGGACCTAAGAGAAAATGAGATGCATGCCTACTTTATGAGGAAGGGCTGGCTGGTGGTGCGGTGCCAGCTGCAAACATTTTTGTCACCCTGTCAATCCCTGGTGCTTTGTGGTATGACCCTAAATTCCGACGGCCTATTCCCTGTAACACACATGCAATCCACTACCCTCAACGATTGCCACTTGCCATTCTCCAAGGAACCATTCTTACTTTTTTTAAAGTTTACTTTAAGTTCCGGGATACAAGTGCTGAACGTGCAGGTTTGTAACGTAGGTATGCATGTGCCACGGTGTTTTGCTGCACCTATAATCCCATCATCTAGATTTTAAGCCCCACATACTTTAGGTATTTGTCCTAATGCTCTCCTTCCCTTTCCCCCCATCTCCCTGGCAGGCCCCAGTGTGTGAGGTTCCCCTCCCTGTGTCGATGTGTTCTCATTGTTCAACTCCCACTTAGGCGGTGTTTGGTTTTCTTTTCCTGTGTTAATTTGCTGAGGATGATGGATTCCAGCTTTATCCATGTCCCTGCAAAGGACGTGAACTCCTTTGATGAGGCAATGTACTTAGCTATAAAAGCACATCTGCAAACATGAACATGAACTCATTCTTTTTCACGGCCGCATAGTATTCCGTGGTGTATACATGCCACATTTTCCTTATCCAGTCTATCATTGATGGGCATTTGAGTTGATTCTAAGTCTTTGCTATTGTGAATAATGCTGTAATAAACATACATGTGCATGAGTCTTTATAGCAGAATGATTTATAATCCTTTGGGTATATACCCAGTAATGAGATTACTGAGTCAAATGGCATTTCTGGTTCTAGATTCTTGAGGAATTGCCACACTGTCTTCCACAGTGGTCGAACTAATTTACACTCCCACCAACAGTGTAACAGTGTTCCTATTTCTCCACATCCTCTCCAGCATCTGTTGTTTCCTGACTTTTTAATGATCGCCATTCTAATTGGCGTGAGATGGTATCTCATTGTGATTTTGATTTGCATTTCTCTAATGATCAGTGATGATGAGCTTTTTATTCACCTGTTTTTTGGCCACATAAATGTCTTCTTTTGAGAATTGTCTGTTCATATCCTTAGACTGCTTTTTGATGGAGCTGTTTGTTTTTTTCTTGTAAATTTGTTTAAGTTCAAGGAACCATTCTTGTCCTGTATTCATGTTGCAGATTTCTAGTTGCCCTACCCAATATTCTAATACTCCCTCTTTGAGTTCTCATCCATCAAGCCACTCTTTGGGATGATACTGTAACTCAAGAGTTGGTCTCTGAAAGGCCAATGTAATGTTCCACATTATTTGATTGTCTCAGGTGACACCTCAAACCTTCTCTCTTAAGATAAAATAAGTCACCTGATTAATTAATTATTATTTTGGAAAATAATAGGAAAAATGAAAAGAATGGAATAATGGAATTAGAGCTTTAGAAAGGCAGTGTAGTGCAATGGAAGAATACCATCTTTTTAGAGACTGCAAGCCCTTGAGCAAGGTATGCTAACTCTTTGAGCCTTAGTTTCTTCATCTGTGGTTTGGGTATAATTACTGTATAGCTAACTTAGAGAACTGAAGTGAGAATTAGAAATTATTATGTAAAATGCTTTGCACATAGTATGTATTAAATGTATTCTAGTAGTTATGATTATTGTAATTTTGTAGCTAATCACCTAGGCCAGTGTTTTGTTTAATAACCAGGAAACGGTCAAAAATCTAAGTAAATAATAATGTAATAATCTAGGATACATAAAAACATTGCCTAAGAAGAGTATTGCAGTATCTTTTTAATTAATAGATAATCTAATTTATAATTTTCTTATATTTTAATCACCAATTATTTATTTACATATGAATATTGCTAAGTGCCTTACATGTGTATTCTTGTGCATGTTAAATATCTTTAGATTATGTGAGTTATGATTATATTCAGCTGCAAGTAATAGCAGACCTCAAAACTGGCTTAAACAAGTCATACGCTAATATTTTCCTTGTGTAAAACAAGTCCACAGGTAGGCAGCACATGGTTATTAGTAGCCCAGGCTTCTTTCTACCTTTCTATTCTACCTTTTTACCTTTTTGTCATGGGGATCCTATTTGTAAGATTGTCTTATAATCCCAAGATGGCAGTTGGAGCTCTAGATGTTATATCTGTATTTCATATAGTAAGAAGGAATGGGGATGGTGCAAAAATATCCACTTTCCTGCTGGGTCACCCATCTCCTGCATATGTCTCACTGGCTAACCTTAGCTACAAAGGAGCTTTGGAGATGTTATTATAGCTGAGTACACTGCCTCATCAATCAACACAGGAGTTCTGTTAAAATAGAAGGGAGAATCGGGAGTATTAGAATGTTGAGCAGGCAACTAGAAATCTGCAACGTGGATGCAGGACAAGAATGGTTCTTTGGAAAATGGGAAGTGGCGATGTTTGTGGATAGCAGGTAGTAGAGTGTGTATGCTGGAGACTGGCAGATTGTAGAGAGAAAGTGATAATAACAAGCTTCTTGGCAACTGGATTGTTTGAGAAGTACTTTGGGTGTGAAATTAGAATAAAAATGATCTATCTAGATCTTAAAGCAGTTTACGTAAATGACTATATTTCAATCCCACAGTAATCTTGAGAATTTGTAAGAAAAGGTAGATGTGTTTATTACTATTTCATTCATGACCAAGTTGAGGCTCAGAATGATAACACTTGCCAAAGACCACATGCCCAGTTAGTACAGAGCTACCGTAGACCTTAGTTCTTCTGACAACTAGTGCATTTCCTTAGTAGAAAAGGGCCAAGTTGTAGAAGTGAGATAGGGAAGATAACTTTATGCACTTCATTTTAACCATTGTGATATTATTTTCCAAAAATTATTTGGACAGAAGGAAATAACATAATCAAACTTTGCAAACAGCAGGGTAATGATTTAAGAGCCCATCTACCTTGGTTCAAATCAGCATTTCACTACTAGCTTGGGTAGGGTAGGGTGGTTGATATCGCTTTCTTATGTGA